TGGTCGTATCTCGAAAAATTCGTAAGGAGGGGCGTTCGTAACTCGAGGTACCACTGTACTAATTATATTAGGAAAAAAATCTTCCTAACAGTAAAAGCAGCTTGACTTTGGAACCAGTTATCCAAAGAAGTGGTGGTCTCTTCACTAGCCACGGTCAAATAAAGTCAGGACAGCTGTTTGTTCAGGATGCTATAATATGACTTCCTTCACTGAACAGGACTCAAATCATGTATTTTTTAGAACACAGAAATGAAATATTACTAAAGCATGTAGAAAACAATTAATAAAATCTATTTGATTGACAACACACAATTATAAAGACAACATACCTGGATCAATAAGAACTTCTTGTGCTCCTAAGAAAAAATCAAAACAACAACATCAACTTCTGTACTGCCTAAATAAACAAGATTGCCAAATATATTTTACAATGAATCACCCAACCACAAAATCTGTAGAAAACCAGACTGCTCACTGAAATACAACACATCTGTTGTCATGTCATTACGATGAAATTCATTATATTATTTTTTTTACAGTTTATAAATGACTCTCTGTAAGTAAGTTAGATTTTTTCTGGATCATATGTCTTCCATGTACCAATATTAATTCTTGATGTGTTAAGGGCCTGCATGTGTTTGAGAGAAAGACAGAGAATTCTTGCCTAGTTACTTAAAGGAATGAAGAATTGCTTTCATATAGCAAAGTCAACCTAAAATGCTGGGAGTTGCAGTCCAAACACACTTGGAGGAATTGCAAACTAAAACAGCATATTTATTTATTATTTATTTAATTACATTTATATGCTGCCCATCTCCCCCAGAGGGTGACTCTGGGCAGCTCACAATTAAAATAAAATATTAAAAACAGTAAAAATGTAAATAATTAAATTAGCAAAAAAATAATACTATATAAAGAAACTATACAATTCAAGATGACGGGGGGGCAGAATCAATTACCCCACCAGCCAATCCCAACAGCGCGAGCCCCCATCAGGCCCCTGGGACATCTGGCATAGCTAAGATTTCACACTCTTCCAGAAGGCCATGAGGGTGGGGGCATACCACACCTCAGGTGGTAAGTTCTTCCACAGGGTGGGGGCCACAGCAGAAAAGGCCCTCTTCCTAGACCCCACCAGCCGAAATTTCTTGACTGGTGGGGTCCACAACATGCCCTTTCTGCCAGACCACATGGGGCAAGCTGATATAATGGGGGCGAGACGGCTCCTCAGATAACCTGGTCCTATGCCATGAAGGGCTTTAAAGGTAATAACCAACACCTTGAATTGGACCCGGAAGCAAACCAGCAACACTTCCTTGGAAAACAAGGCCTTTTTCATGCAGCATTCCCCAATACACACTATGTGTGTGCATTTTTAAACCAAAGAACTTGGTTGCAAATTCTGAGACATATGAAACCAACATGTTTATTGTGTTCTATTCATATAAGGCAATAAAGTAACTGATAGGGTCAAATCAGAGACTTCAAAGTCTAGCATTCTGCTTCCACAGATGCCTTTATGAAGGCCCTAAGCAGATGCCTTTGGGAAGCAAAGTCAATAGGAAATCACATTTCTCTTTCTGGCTCATTTCATTCCCTAGGACCAGGAAGCAATACTGTCTGTTATACTGAGGGAAACAGCTATCCATCATGACTAACACAACCTAACACAGAAATATCTGTGTTGTTGTTTCATCAGGTCTATGGGTACAAAGAAACCAGACATGTGCTCATCTTCCTTCTGATGTAAAAATCATAGCCTTGTGTTCCAGGATTCAGTGTAAGCATTCAGAATGACAGGAGCCTGAGGGTCAGGAAGAAAGCAAAAGGTACTGAGACACACACTGCCAAAGTCGCTTGCTAACGATTTCCAGTGTTCCCTTATATAATAAAGTAAAAACCACAAGACTCTCTTTTCTGACAAAGCTAAAAGCCACGCAACTTCTGAGAACTAGAAGCAGGCTGCACATCTGTAAAAGCATGTCTCTTTATTCAGCACTACATTGAGTGTAAGGCAGTGTTGCCCAAACTTGGCCACTTTAAGATGAGTGGACTTCAACTCCCAGAATTCCCCAGCCAGC